CCCCAAAACCCCAAAACCCCCATGTAAAGAGTAAAAAAGAGAATCTTTGCAATAATAAAGTCGAATTCATAACAAAATTCTTTTTAAAAGCAAAAACAGATTAAAATAAATAATTAAAATTCAAATGAATACAAAGAAGAAGAACAAAACTAGAGCTAATATAGATTTGAATAACAACTCTTAGACCGGATCAAAGCACCCATGGCTTCATCCATTTGATTAGAATCATCTAAACAGCAGAGCAGATGATTATTTCAGAGATGTCTCTTATTATCTAAATTTACAGAGTAAGATAAGTCTCAAATACTTAATAAGCTATTATTTTTTCATTCTAAATATGAACAATTACAAACTATCATTTAGATATATATAAAGTTGTTGATACTTGTTATTACAATGAGCAGATGGATTATGTTCCAGTTCTAGTGCAAATAATGCAAGAGAAGGTCAAACAATCGTTCGGAGGCGCAGAATATTTGCTGCAGGTCTGGCACTCTTAGACTAAAAAGCAGATCTTTCAAACCTCTTTTAACGGTAATATTTAAAAATTAATTCTTCTTAGCAAAAATCAAAAGTTGGAACATCACCTACGATTATCTACTATATGTTGAGGAAGGATCAGTTGATGTAATAAAGATAGTAGACTTATTAAGAGAAGGTTTAAGCCCAATCATTTAAATAAAAGGGATTCCGGATTTAATCAACAGTAAGACTTACTAATATGTATAACTGTCATTTTAGTAAAACAATATCAAATTTTTGAAGATTATCTTGTTTGTGCTTATCACGATATGAAATTGGTATTCATTAAAGTAAAAAACTAAAATTTATAAAGAGCCAAAGATGATATAAGGGCTGACGAATTGCCTCAGCTCACATATCAGTGCTAACTGCCAATACAAGCTTTGCTCCTTTTAAAAATATCTGAAAAAGTTGATGGAGATAAAAAATTAGTTTAGAAACTGATTATAGCTTTTGAGACGAATTAAAATCTCTTAGATTTCAACTTTATAATCATTCCAAAAACTGAGAATGATAAGATCAATATTAGTTTCAATCAAGCAAGAGATGTATTTCCAAGACCGTTAGCTGAACCTGATCCTCTAGTCCAGTGTGTAATAAGAGTCATGCTCACAAAGTTTAATAACAAACAAAAATATTTGATCTAAGGGGTTACTCGAAGAAAATCAGGGTCTGTTGATCTCTATAGTAACATGATGTTTAAACAGTAAGTTCCTGACTGTAAGTTTCCTATAAATTTCTTATCAATATAGTACTTTTTGATTAAGTCGGAATGAGTGATCATACTTTCTACTTTCAAACTTAACAAGGAAAGTATTTCAGTTTGAAGCTTCTTGAACAGCAAGTACTATCATTTGAATAGGCTGAAGAAATTCCTGATAGTTTAAACTTTAAGATGAGTAATTTGCCAATCAAGATTGTTGAGAGATATGCCAAGCTCTTTTAATCTTTTCATATGATAATGGTTG